GAGAGAGAGAGAGAGAGAGAGAGAGAGAGAGAGAGAGAGAGAGAGAGAGAGGTTTTGGTAGTGAATAAATAGGACATATAGGGTCCTATTTATAAGGGATTGATATCTAAATTCAAATTCAAAAACCAAGAAGTTATCTGAATTAAAATTTAAACCAAAGTTTATTTGAATCCAAACTAGACGGTTATCTAAATTCAAACCATGAGTTTATCTGATCTCTGGAGTCTTCCTAGAAGCCATCCACGAAGTCAACCATCAATAAACTCTTAGTGGGCCAGTCCAAACCTGATTCCACCGGAACCCGACCAAAGAAAAGCTCATCAGCTCCTAATAACTAATGTGGTGTGCGAAGTGAAAACTGCCTATAGACCGTGCCATTTCACAAACCTCGTGTGTCTCGTCCTCGACCTTGCTCGGTGCATGTGTGGGCTTGACACATCCTATATCCTTCACTAAGCTATGAACGCTTAAGGAAATAGAAGCCTTATAAACCCAAAAGAGTTTCTTCTTTCCACCAACGTGAGATAATGGATATTGCCAACTTGTTATAATTTATTAATTAAATTTCCAATAATTATTGGTTTGCGGAAGCATTTCTCTTGGGAGTTGACATATGAGATGTCTTATGTACTTACATTTTTTTATTGCCAAATTAATATATATATATATATATAGAGAGAGAGAGAGAGAGAGAGAGAGAGAGATTTTTGGTAGTGAATAGGACCTATAGGGTCCTATTTCTTATAGAATAATATCATAGTTCGGATTCAAAAAAACAAGAAATTGTTTGAATTCAAATTTAAAGCGAAAGGTTATCTGAATCAAAACCATATGGTTATCTAAATTCAAACCATGAGTTTATCCGATCTCTAGAGTCTTCCTAGAAGTAATCCAAAAAGTTAAACATTTGTCAACTCTAAGTGGGTTAGTCCAAACCCGATTCCACCCGAACCCAGCCAAACAAAAGCTCATTGGTTCCTAGTGATTGTTGCGGCGTACAAAGTGCAAAGTGCGTATGAATTTTGCCATTTCACGAAGTTCGTGTATCATGTCCAGGGCCTTGCTTGGTGAGTGTGTGGGCTTATACATCATGTATCCTTCACTAAAGCCATTGAAGGCTTAAGGAAATAGAAGTCTTATAAATTTACGCAAGCTTCTTCTTCTCACCAGCTTCAAATAATTGATTTTGCCAAGTTGTTATAATTTATTAAATTTCCAATAATTATTGGTTTACGAAATTATTGGCCATGGGACTTGACATAGAAGATTTATTATGTACTTTCACTTTTTTAATTACCAAAATTAATAAATGAAATGATAGGTTATGTTTTTATGTGTGTGTGAGAGAGAGACAGTCAAAAAGAGAATTAAAAAATAAAAATAAATGTAAAAAGAATAAATTAAATTGTATAATAGTAATTTCAATTTTGATAGATACCAAAACAACACAAAAATCCAATTACAGACGAGAGTGTAAGTTGAAACTTTTTTGAACATAATAAAAAAAGAAAAACCACAAATACCGTTGTTGCTGTTTTGTCTAAATATTATTCAGAGAGTTATAATTATTTATATATTAGGCGAATGTCCGCACGTTGTGCAGGTTAAAAAATATGATTAAATTATTGAAAAAACACATATTGTTTTCAATGGTTAAGTTATAGATATTAACATTAACATAATACTTTTTTACACTAAGTTTAAATATATGATCTCAACTATTTTGAATAATATTACTCAATTGCTTCTACCCGTTGCTTGCATATAAATTTTACTTATGTGACAATCTTTTAAGTTATAGATATAGATATAAATAATTTATATTACTTTTTAACTATTATTGTTAATTAATTTACAAAATCACTTTAAAAAATATTCTATTACTGTAAAAATAGTTTTTAGATATTATTTTAGTTAATTTGACAATTCGATCGATGTTTGTATTTAACATGTTTAAATATTTTACCAATTTAAAAAAGGATCGTTTTTTAAAGTTTATTCGATATTTTGGTATAAGTTTTAAATCTAATATCATATTTAAATTAACAAATCAAATATGATATATTGATACGTTAAAAGTTAAATATAGACAATGTATTTAACATCACATTTAAAAAAAAAAACTAAGTAAATTATATTAATAATGCAACACCATGACAATATATTTTATATTTAATAAGTTATATAAAGTTGAAAGTTCAAAAGTTATGAGTTTCAAATCTATATATATATATATATATATATATATATATCTATATATATATATATATATATATATATATATATATATATATATACTTATAAAGCTAACATTTTTTTTGAATCTCATGCATTTGAAACCCCATTTTTTAACTTCCTCAAACCATATTCATTTGAAACCCCATTTTTTAACTAATGCAACTCAAAAGTTTTCTTAATTATGATTTAACACTCAAAAGTTTTATAACTTATATTATGTTTAATTAGCATTTAGTGAACAATTTACTATAAAAAGACCAATCTTTTGTGTCTTTTGTGTTATATAAAATCTTATATGTAAGAAGGATTTGAAGATATTGTGATTGAAAAGTTTTCATATAGTTGAAACATTCACGATCCAAATATGATGATTTGAAGAAATGGGTTATGTCGCATCGACGGTAATTGTAATATGATTTTTTCTTTCAACCAAAACAAATGAAGCTTTTTTTATTCTTTCTTTATATTCAGTTTCTCATTTAATCTTTATATGTGATTTGTGTGTATTACTCAATCTTGAATGTGACTCTCCAAACATCAATGTTTTGCTTGGAATATCTTTCTGATTCTTCTTTTTCAAGAAAAATATTTTGATTGCTGGTTAGTGAAGAATTGTCATCAAGTTTCTATGGTTGAATGGTGTTAAATGAAGAAAGAAGATTCATAAAATGGATATAAGTTTTTTTGTTTGAGCAAAGTTGACGAATGTTAGTTTTTTCTTTTAATTTAAATGTATGTTTATGTAACATCTTTATTTATATATTCAACCACCCAATGCTCTTATTTATTTGATTGTAGTTTTCTATTTTGATTAGGTTTATTTTCTATTATTTTTTTGTTGGGTTATCCTACACAACATATTTAAAAGATAACATAATTTTGAACATTTGATATGTAATTACGATAGATTTATTATGATATGTTCTTCATATGAAAGTAATTTATCCATATTATTACGAAAAAAAATTACATATGACATTTACGAAAATATATATATTATATGTGATTTGTTTAACATGTATATGCACCTATGTATGTTATAAATTTATAATTAAATATCTTTATGTTTAACAATTGAAGGGATTAAAATGATGCATCAAAACCAATTATTTAGACGAATATAATAATAATAATAATAATAATAATAATAATAATAATAATAATATAATAATACATTTCCAAGTATCATATTCAATTGAAACTCACACTACAACTCAAGAGTTTTCTAATTTATGTATATTTATTAGTTACAACTCAAGAGTTTTTAACTTATGATTATTAATTAGTAATCACTAATAATTTTTTATTTTCCTTTCTTTTATGAGGTTGTAAAGTTTTGCTTATTAAAACATTAATGTATTTGAAGAGATTTGTGATTTAAATATGAAGAGTTAATATAAATGTTATAATAGATGTTTTAATGTTTTTATGTTATTAAAAGTTATAGTGTTTATTTTTCATATCTTTTATTATTCGTTGTATATGTATATATATCTTTTTTAATACAAATGTTATAATAGATGTTTTTCTATTTTAATGTTACTAAAAGTTGCAGTTCATATTTTTGTTCATACGTTTTGTTACCCGTTATATTATCATTCATTTCATATATAATTTACACAATTTTAAACGGTTTATAAAATTATCAAATAATTGTATATATCACAATGACTTAAAAATTAAACTATAATGTTTAATAAAACTAATATGTTAACTATAATAATTTGCTTTACTACTAACATTTTGTTTCAAAGTAGAAATATTAAATAATAATTTGGTAAAAGTTATTATTTTAACTATATAATTCTATTCTCGCGCAACGCGCGGGGATTCACGTAGTATATATATATATATATATATATATATATATATATATATATATATATATATATATATATAAGTTTACTAACATAAATTCAATAAAACATATATTTTGAATTATATATTCAAAAAACATATTAAACACTCATAAAATCATACAAAAAGAATACAAAGAACTCAAAATATGTATATTAATATATTTGATATATTAAAAAACATAATAAAATTCTATTTTTATGCAATAAAATTTATTTCTTTAATTCTTCATAGATCTTCAACCTTTCATATTTAAATCATAAGACCACATCAAACATATGAAAGTTTTTCTTTAATAGGTTCTAAAACCTTATTAATATTTAAATCATAAAACCACATCAAACATATATGAAAGTTTTTTTTAATAGGTTCTAAAACTTTATTATTGATATACTACCAATAAAAGTAGAAATATATAACCCCTAAAAGTAAAATGTCATTAGTAAATGACATTAATTTTAGTAACATAAAATTTTTTATTTAAGTAATTATAAAAGATAAGTAAACATTCTTGAATGGTTGTTATTAATTGGTTGAAGTTAAATGGTTGTAGCTTTTTCAAATGAATATATGCAAATATATGGCATATCTTAAACTGTATCCATTTGTATTCATTTGGATGACATCTTCTTATAAGATTTATCTTATAAAAAGATAAAGATTTGTGCACATCTAGTATAAATTTTATGAGCTTCCAATTTACTTTACATTACTGAAATTAAATATATATAAATCAGAATTTCGTTTATGAATGTAATTTAAAAAGAACGTAATATATAAACTAGAAACTACATATTTATTCAACGGAAATATTTGTATTTAAGAGAAGCGTGACTGACTCGGCCACATAAGTATAAGCCTTTAGAATTCCTTTTGCCCATTTGAGGGAGTAACATTCCACGATATCAACCGGACTTAAGTTGCTGCAAGTCCGGGAAAGATTGAGAAACTGCATTCAGATGCACTGGTTTTCCCATTGAAAGTGAACCATTTTTCATTTTTTGACCATTATTAATACTCGGCAATTTACGTTCTCTTGTAATCTTTTCATCGGATAGCATTTTCGCAAACCTAAACAAACAATAAAATATTAGAATTATCATAATTATTCTACTTATATTCTACCTATAAACATACCTTACTAAAGCTTGTTCATTGGTAGTGCAATGAAAAGGTTCGTATATTCCTGTCCCTAAGTTCACCGTCGAGACAGGTTTCTTCAACAGTTCTTTACCAACTTGCACAAGATCTTCCAAGTTTTTTCTTGTCGTAAGATCCATTAAAGCCATGTCTCCGCTTAAAGTATCATCCTAAACCATTTCAATTTATTAAAATGCTTATATTGTTTATTTGTTGCATGCTTAAGAAATGTGGTGGTGGTTTAGAATTAACTATACCTGAACTCGAAGGTAACTCTCTCCTGAATGAAGGGCTTGGAAGACAGTAGATATATGATAGTCGACCATATCACTACTTGATTGAGTAAATACATCTATCAATGGAGTCGATCCACTACTTGCTAGCCACCCGACAACGCCCCAATTGGACGATGTATTAGCATCATACTTCTCTTCATATTTTGGAGAGCCTGTTCCCAATGACAATACTAGAAAACGACCATATTCGGTTGGTTTAATTGGAAAGAAATCGATACTACCTCCTGTTATCTCTTGTGTCACTTCACTTATTGCCACCAAAGTCTACAAACAAACATGCATGGATTAGAATCTAAAAACGTAAATCACGTCCTCTTTAAAAAATCAATGCGACATTTATACCGGATTATTTGCAGCCACCCCACCATCGATAAGATTGAACTCTCCAACTAGATTCCCTTCAGAGTCTTGGGTTCTAAAAGCATGGGAAGGAAGATAAGTTGGTGCAGCCGATGTTCCGATGCATATATCAGATAGCATCGCATCTATACTTGGGTTTCTCTTCAGCTGAATGAAGTTTATGACACTTATTCATTTTTTTTATCAAACACAAATCTCAATGCTATAAAAAAAGAACATGTTGTAGTTAAAAACCTGATAGCTTGAGAAGATGGTAGGCTGCATACGTTTGATATCAAACGTGGGGATCACCACATTAGTCAGTGTTTCATGAAGTCGTGTCTCTCCTAGTATTTCTTGAACAAGTTTATGTAGATAAACACCATCGTACTTTGGTCCAGATAGAGCTTTGATCACTTTTTCAGCATGACCAAATGGATTGCTAAATGTTGCAACGAAGAGGAAACACAATTAGCAATCTTAATTAACTACATGTAATATGTTTCAGATGTCAAAGTAAGCATCGTACCTCTCATGTGGGAAGATTTTGGGACAATGTTCAAGATAAAAGTCTGTTATGTCCTTAGCTGCGAAGATAGGACGTTTATCTTCATTAGGAGCTGTCAACATGGCTGTTACAAGGCCTCCGGTGCTTGTTCCAGAGATTACATCGAAATAATCCGCCAACCGAGCATTCTCGCCATCTAGTTTCTGCAAATATGTGAACTTGTTCATGAAATCATGTGGTTTTTTTTGTGTTAAAAATGCTAAATTTGTACCTGAAGTTCCGATTCTAAGAAGCTAAGGATAACACTTGGGATGATTCCTCGTACTCCACCACCATCGATGCTTAGGATGGTGATTAGGTTTCCGTATGTTGGTCGTTGCAAAGGCGATGAAGGTGCTTCTTTAGAAGGCATGATCTCTTAATCAATGATATGTGTTCAACTGTTCCGAGATGCATTTCTTAAATAGTGGTGATTTTTGACCCATACCCGAAGTCAAGCCTCTCATTGAAAAAAAAAATTATAAAGATATATAAAATATATAGCTCGTAACTAGAATAATATAAAAATGTGTTATTATTTTTTTATTATTCTGACATTGAAAACTAGGCTGCCAATGAAATAGTTTGTTGAGACGGTTGTGAAATGCATCACCGATTCACGAGGAGATCTGCACTTTTATTTTTCTACAAATATTTTTATGAGGCTTGATTATTATCATCCCATTTTCATTTTCGTATTGTTTCTTTCGTAGGTATACATACAACGACCAAGCTCGTGATTGAGTTGGTCATGAACAACGGCCGTGCACATCACCCCGTTGTTTTGTGGTCAGCCGTTCTCGTGGTCTTTCGTGTTGGCCATAACAGATTAAAACATCCAATGAAATCGAAGCCCATTTTGACCAATTTCTATAGCCGTTCAACGGCTACTTTGTTTAAAAAAAAATTTAACCAATTTATTTACCTATAAATACAACACTTTTACTCTTTATTTTTTACATCATTCTTTTCTTTCTCTATACACAGACTACACACTACATCTTCACAACCAAAAACCATGGATCCCAACCAAAATACCCCTCCAAACTACAGAAATCGCAAACCCGATAACGCTTTTGCGTTACATACAACCCCTCGCCAATTCCCCACTATGGAGTCACCTCAAGGTGATTTTCTCAATTTGGTTAAAACTGGTTCTCCTATCCAACAAACACCACATTTCCAACAACAATATCAACATTTTCCGTCTTTCCAACAACAAAAAATGCAACAACAATACCAACAATTTCAACAATTCCAACAACTCCAACAACAAGCGTCACAACAACAACAACAACAACAACAACAACAACCAATTTCACAACCACCACTTTCGCCGGATTTTGTTGCGGAAACGCAACCTTCACCACCACTTCAACCAAAAAAGAAAAAAAACGGATCCGACCCACTACCACCCAAGAAAGGGTCCCATGGACAAAAGACGGAGAAGAAAAGTTAGCGGAGGCATGGGTGTCGGCTTCCCAAGATCCAATTGTAGGAGATAGTCAACCTTACAGAAGTTTTTGGGAGAAAGTCCGAGCCATTTATTACGAGTTAATGGAAGTGAAACTCGAAATGTCGATCAAATTACGTCGAAATGACGAGATATTCGACTAAAATGCACCGACTTTGGAGGAATCTACAACAACCTCCTAAACATACGCAAAAGCGGCTCGAACGATTTTGATGTTTTCAAGGCGGCCATTGAGCAATTTGAAAAAACAACTCCAACACGCAAAGCTGATCCGTATATGAAATCGTGGCTAAAATTGAAAGACGCTCCAAAATGGAAAGAGCAAACGGAAGGAACTTCGCAATTTTCCGGTTCAAAGCGTTCGTGAAACCCCGATGGAACTTCCCAACAATCGGACGGCCGAACACACATCGACATCAACGACGATCCGCTAGATCTTGAAAACGAGCAACCTCTTCGTCGTCCCGTTGGAAGAAATAAAGCAAAGAAGCGGCTTTAACATCTTTGAGCTCTAGTGTTATGGATATTGTTGGCGATAAATGTGATCGATATGTGCAACTTCAAGAAACGAAGGCCGAGGTGATGACTCGGATGAAGCAAAAAATAATCAAGCGACGATCCAAACAAAAACCGATATGAAAATCCTGAAAATAAAAGCAGACGACCTCGAGGACGAAGACTTGGAACTTTTACTCGCGATGAAAGAGTCGGTTCGAGCCCGACGTAGGCGTATGGAGTAGTTTATTTTATTTATGGTTGGTTTTAGTTTTTTTTAATGTTTTTTTTATTTTTTTATTTTAAGTAATGTCTTTTTTATTTTTATTGCTATTTTTTTTAATTTCAATTAATGTAGTTTTTATTTAATGTAATTTGGTTTTTTAATTTAATGGAAAACTAGTATTAAAAAAAATAATTTTATTGTATTTTTGAATTAAATTTAAATAAAGAAATGAGATGGAGTGGTGTGTTAGTGGTAGGTAACCCATGTTAGTGGTAGGGAAATGTGGTGCTGATGTGACACCCACAACATATGTGGTATGTGATGGGTATAACGGATGATCTAATAAGTATTAACTTGAAAATATATAGGGTTGTTTGGGATTACTTAGACATTTAAAATGTGGTGCTGATGTGACCTCCATTTTATAGTTATTAAACATCTGAATGCTTGTTAAACATTTAAAAATCATTTTTTTCTTGTCTTGTTTTATAAGAAAATGACAAATTCATAATTGTCATTCATAATTTTTACAGTTTAATATTTTCATTCGTATTGTAACACAATATATATATATATATATATATATATATATATATATATATATATATATATATATATATATATATATATATATATATATATAAAAGTCCATATATTCCATTTACAGTCTAATACACAAAATTCATAAATTAATAAAATTAATTTTACAATAATTCAAAATTTCAAAGAAGTCAAACACGAATTCTACTATCACCAACCACTACAAACACACTGTCACCAACCACTTGTGTCACCGTTGTAACCATCATTTCTTCCAAATCCGATCTGTTTACAAATTCATGTATTAACAACTTAAATAGTATATTCACAGTTTAATAAACCTATTAATCCACTAATTTAGAGTTTAATGCAAAACAATTATAAAAACTGTTACATTCTTACATATTTATACAAGAAATTAATACAACCATTCATACATAAATAATTTATATTTTAACGAAAAAAATAATTTCACAACTTAATACAGTCAATTCAAAGTTTAATACAGTCAGTTCACAATTTAATACACAAAATTCACAGATTAATACAATAAATTTACAGTTTAATATACAAAAATGTTATATTTTAACTTAAAACTTATATGTATACATTTAAATATGAAGGCTAGTGTTTCTTTTAAAATTTAATTTATACAATATTAACAGCTTATATTTTATATAATTTATTTAAATTTAGAGAAAATCATATATGTGTATCTTTTTTCTAAACACAAAATTCTTAAAAAAAATCATAGCTTAATACAGTCAATTCATAGCTTAATAATGTGAATTCACAATTTAATATACATAATTCACCACTTAATATAATAAATTCACAGTTTAATACACAAAATTCACAACTTAATACAGTCAATTCATAGTTTAATACAGCCATTTCACAACTTAATACATAAAACTAGTAGCTTAATACAATAAATTCACAGTGTAATACAGTTTAATACACAAAACTTATATATTTACAACAATATTCTCAACTTAAAACTTATATTTATGCATTCATATCTGGAGGCATTTGTGTATATTAAAATGTGAATTTATTATATTAAGTTCTAAATAAAATTCACAGATAAATACACTAATTTCACAACTCATTTACACATAAAATTTAGATTTGGATAAAAAAAATCAGAATTTACAGTTTGATGAAATATTTCAGACACTAATTCATAGCTTAATTTAATATTTCAAACACTAAAATGCACAACTTATTGCAAAAAAGAAAAACAAACAAACAAACAAACAAACAAAACAAAACAAAACAAAATTCATAATATAATACACGCTTCAGACACTAATTCACAGCTTAAAACAAAAATTTAAACACTTATTCTGAACTTAAAAACTTACAGATCTCGTTGAAACATTTCATCAAACACCTTGTGTGCACATTATTTCCAGATATGATGTGATGTACAGATCTGAGATTGTCATATTCCTTAGAGTCTTCGGATATTCCAGATCTGATCTTAATACTGTACAGATAATTGTCGAAGCAGATCTGAAGCAACATGAAGGCTGTGTTTGGAGGAGAAAACGACGACTGTGGTGGAGATAAGTAGAAGGAGGAAGAGGTGTCGGTGGTGGAACAGATCTGATACGTGGAGGTGCTAGTGGTGGTGTTTATGGCGGAGCAACAGCGAGAGGAGTGAAAAGAGGCCATGGTCGTCGGAAAATCATAGATCTGGAAGATCTGGTGCAACGACGTTCAGAAAATTGCAGATTTGAGAGATCTAGTGTCACGACAATCAGAAAAACATTGATCTGGAGGTTGTCGAATAATTATAGATATGGAGGATACCGAAAAATTACAGAGTTGGACATCGGGGTGGTGGAAGAAAGTCAATGCAGGGACGCGACAACAATCTTCTAGCAGTAGTGTTCTCCCGGCAACGACAATGGTGATTCCAGATCTAAGACATTTCAGATCTACATTTTCAAATCTACAAATCTGAGTGGATTCTGCTGGTTTTGATAAGAGGATAAGAAGAAACAACAGTTGATCAGATCTGTCGAGGAAGAAAGAGGCCATGACGCCGGTAAGGATGTGACAGTGATGGTGGTAAGGTCGCCGGCAATAGTGGCTGCAGTAGGTGGAAGGTGGTGTTCAGGTTTGAAAGTTCTTGGAGTTTGGGAGAAGTTTTGAATGCATTTGATCTAGTTTTATTAACAAATGTGAGTTTATAATGTTAGAGATATAAGATGTTATTGTTTTGACAAAAATACCCTTAATAAAAAGGGTTCTTAGTGGTTCTTAACTTTTAGTGTTTCTTATTTGAACTTTTACCTCTTTATCTCTCTCTCTCTCTCTCTCTGTATATATATATATATATATATATATATATATATATATATATATATATATATATATATATATATATATATATATATATATATATATATATATATATATGGTGAGGTTCAATAGCAAACCATAATTAACAATGAACCAAGGAGCCAATCGTGAACGTCGGAAATCATAATGATCAACGACCAAGGAAATAGATGTACACTTTTACATTGGACGCATACACACCAGATTATACCAAAAAAATCCACATCATTACCAAAAAACTCATCTCTTTTTTTCATTTAAATTTTTTTAAGCTACATTTTATATC